CTAAATGAGTTCTCAAAACAGCGCACATTCAGCCATATTAAATGTGGAGATAAGTGCTGTGAGCAAGCACCTCAAAGGAGGGCACAGAATATGACGGGGTCTGGTGTAACCAGCGCTACGCATGACTGTCTCTCTAGTGCTTATGATGAAAGCACCATGTCAGATTCTGATTTAGGTGCAGTTAATTTAGGGGAGGCCCTGGTCAGGTCCAAAGCCATTATAATTAGTGTAGTTTTGAATTGAACCCAAGTTGTCAGGTTTATAATGCAGTGCGCTCCCTACGATTCCAAGACTTTATGCATGTACGAGGAAAGACAACGACTCTCCATAGAGCCACACAGGCTGTTAATGCAAGTGTTGTTTGCAAGTATCTATCAAGTCAGGCAAAGCGCACAAGGGAGAGTTTTTTTTATTGGATGCAATTGTATTGTGAACAATAACCATATCAGACATGAGTACATATAATCGGCATAATTATTCGTTCACTGAGGTCAGCATCACTCATGACCACCTTCATTTCCCCAGTGCCAATGTATCCTCACCCTACTTATTAAAAGCCTAGGGGAGGCCCAGTGGTAGTTACCACTCTTCATTAATATTATCCTTGGCTGGGAATTGAACACAGGTGATTGGGTTCATAGCACAGTGCAATAGCCACTATACCACTCCTCTCCATAAACAGACACACATCCTCATTATGCTGACTTAAAAATATAATGGCACAAAAACCATAAAGCACAAGACGACACCATGAGTGGGAAGACATACAACTGGCAGAAACACTAAGTAGGGACCAATTTCCACTCATTCACCCCTGGGAATCAACCAATTAAGCAAGCGGGCAATAAAAATGCACTGGTGCAGTGTGGTTGAAAGTTATTTTCTGCATCGGGTTGGTTGCAGAGGGCGGCGGTGCCGATGAAATCCCTTTCCTTGTCGACAGGAGCCTCAAGGCCATATCCATCGAGGCTGACAATCTAATCCCACAACACATTTGCTCTGACTCGCATACGTCATCACGTTTACGAGTCCTCATACATGTATATAACAAAAAATGATGCCTACTTTTACAGGCGAGAGTTTGACATTGACGACTGCACTGCGAGTTGAGAGTGGTTGGGCCTTAAAAAAGCTGGTCTCGGTCATAGGAACTCAATAAAAATGTGGAATTAAATTAACACGTCTGGCCCCTGTCATAAGATTGATGAGCACTTCCCCATCCTTGTTTCTGTATGGAAACGATTAGACATATTTGATTGAAGACTTATACTTAAAAAATGCAACATGCCATAATGTAACAAGTGTTATGTGAAAGCACCTGGTGAAAGGATTTTCTTTAAAAAATGCAATAACCAACTAAAGGTTATGAAAGGCATATCACAGATGAACATCTGTGATAAATGATCCAAAATAATTATTTCTTCTTTAAAGGTCAACGCACGTAAAAAGCATTAGGATGGACAGGTCTAGTTGTAATTATACTAAGGCATTTTAAATACGATTTTATCTTTTAAAAAATCTGCCAATTTAGGTGTAAGATTTAAAGGGTAAACCTTTGTCTGAATATCTAAAAATTATTTAAATAGACCTTTAAGTAAGCATAACAAATGTGTTGACAACTCATCCCACCCAAACACCACAAATGCAAGGTATTCTTGAACCATTACATTTCACCTCACCAACACATCTATGCTCTGTGGAGAACACCCATAGGCTGCATACAGTCACGCACAGTACGTTACATTTGCTCTACCCATCTTTTTTTGGACAACAATGAACGGAGAACAGACGTGCAGACATCCAAGGAAAATACAATTTTCAGTTCTACGTCAATGGACTGGTGGGTGGGGCCCTCTACATGCCGAGTGGGGTTGTATGACCATGCTTCACCACGGTGGTCACTTCAGAGTTTGCAAATTGGAAGGAGGGGCTCAGAACCAATTCAGATACAATATCACTCGCCACTGATGTTAGTTAGCCATGGTAACGACTTAAAACTCAGTGCTTAACGAGTTCACAGCGTAGCGCGTAGATAGATGCGCCGCTGCTCCCACTCCAAAAACAAAAGTCACCTCCAAATTTGAGCATTACTACACTGACATAGCGACGTTGAGAGCAACACACACGAGGGTAGGGACACGCGTGGTCAGACGTGAAAACAATTACTCTCCGGACATTGCCCACAGACATGAAATTCCCGCACACACAAGGCCACACATAGGAGCCAGGCTACAAGCCAGGCTGTGGGTGGCGCTGTGAAGCACAAATCTACGACTGCAATGAATACCCCACAGCGATTGACTTGCCTCTTGGAAACGCTGGATTTATTTGAATCCGATTGCACTCTAATATGTGCGGGCGCCAATTGCATGCCGAGGTGACCTGCCCTTATTTGTCTTCATTCAATGTACATACACGTGACGGTTACAGTAAAGGCTGGGCTTTTAATATTCAATACGACTGACTTCATAAGGTCACGCTTAAATTTTGATTTAAAGCTTTCTTGATTGCAGGGATTCATATTCTTGGTTCTTCAAATTTTCTTGTTGCGGTTTTCACACCTGATGATGATTGCTTGTGTTGCAGTCGAAACGTCGTGAGAATTTTATTGTTTTAGATTGTTATTATTTTATCGTTTCCCTTCTACGGGACTTACCGAAAGAACCAAGAATAATGTCACGCTTGTTAATGTCTAATAGGTCTCTATGGGGCTGTACTTGCTGATGTGGAATTAAAACTCCGTGGAGCTTGTTCGCATACATTGGTTTACACAGAAAGAAACATTGTTGTACAGCCTTACAATTTAATCGTAGTAAAAATTCTGGATTAGCGAGTCGTCCAGGTCGTGGTGTTAATTTGACCGCACCGTAACCACGCTGGGTCAGCGAGGTGGGTGGCGCAGATGCGTTGCTCACGGTTTATTCCATTTTCAGCAAGTACAAGGGTAGTAAAATAACAACAAATTGTAAATGTGTTACCGTGCTCCACGAAGATAATCTACAAAAATGGTCATTCACAATCGTGGAAATTGCACATTCTTGTGGCAGGTCCTGGTCTCATTCCTTTGAGGCCCACATGCATGAGATTACCAATATCTCGTTTTTCCCCTTAAGCAACATAGCTCGACTTGAACATATGCTGTCCCCTCCTGATTCTGAGAGGCTGGTGCATGCCTTTATTTCATAAAGATTGAATTATTACAATGCCTTGCTTGCTGGAATAGATAAAAATTAAATAGACTACAATATATAAAAAAAATTCGTCTGCCCGGGTTTTAAACCAGATCTATTACTCCGATTATTTTCCCTCCCTGCACTGGCTCCCTGTAAAGTACAATACACTTCAAGATTCATGTTCTCACGTTTAAGGCCTTGAATGAGCTGGCTCCTAAAATATCTCACCGATCTGCTTACGTTTTATATTCCACCGTGAAAACTTACACCTGCCGATCCTGGTCTACTCATTATTTCCTAAGACCAGACTTTGTTCTATGAACGAGAGAGCTTTTTGCAGTCAGGCTCTCTGATTGTGGAATTCCCTTCCTCGGTCCATGAGGGAATCAGAGTCTGTTACCATTTTTTTGAAATCGCGTCTTAAAACGAACCTTTATGCAAAGCTCATTTGCGAATTTGCGCTATAGAAACCCCAGTTTAATATTTCGATCTAAAGCTTTCGTGACTGCAGGGATTCATATTCTTGGTTCTTTCGGTAAAGTCACGTATAAGAGGAGAAAAAACAATAAAATTCTCACGACGTTTCGATTCCCTTCTACGTGACTTTACCCAAAGAACCATGAATACAACAGAGTTTAATAGTACCATCGTTATTATTATCACCCACACGACAAATTATTATTGCTGCCCAATATAGTATATGGTGCCAATTTTACTGACCCTTAGACTGAGTATGATGATGATGGTGATGGAGCTGAGGAAAGCCAGCAAAGGAATTTGCACTTTGGGTCTCACGACAGCTGCTCTAAACATATTTGTCATCAGCCATGCTCCACCCACTGCTGGATTGAGGGCCTCCCTAGCCATTGGCTCGCGATGCTGTTGCCGCTCTTAAATATTGAGCGACAATAACGCTCCCTAACACTAACGCAAGTTCGCAATCATTTTAGTCAAATTATCAGATCAACAGTGATAGTTGACACCTACATAGAAACATATTCTTGGGTCTTTCGGTCAAGTCGCGTAGATAGGTTCAAAGAAAACGACAACAAATATCTACGTGACATTAACCGAAAGACCCAAGGATATGAATTACCGCAGTCACGAAAGCTTTAAGTCAAGATTCGTATCGAAACAGATGATTGGAATGCGAAGTTAATCAATGTTTTCAAGAAACGTTTACATGTTACATGTAGAACACCTGGTAAATGCAACGATTAATGAAAATAGTCTGTAGAAGAAAACAAATCAACAAAATAAGCGAGGTTATCCATGCCGTTGACAAGCCTCGCCATACGTTCACACAGTGGCACAAAGCCAGCTGTATTACACCGAACACTCTACAAATCGCCGACACCAGCATGACGAGGCACTAGTCACTTATACACATTATACAAATCAAGCAAAAAAAATTAGTTTTTTTTTTTAAAACGGTGTCAATGTTCGCGACAGTTACAAGGTAAATTCAGCCAAACACTTTCATTATAAATCAAGCCAGCAGCTACTTTATTTTTTGTTTTGTGGTTTCCATTCAACATGAAAGCATCTATGGCTGCATCCCATATTCGTGGTGTTGTTTATAAAGTCGCTGCTATTCAAGGAAAAGTCGTTTCAAACGGAAACAAATCGTCAACAACATTCGCAGCTACATCACGCGACACCGAGGCCCCCCCCACCTCTGTGACACAAACACAAGACGCACACACAGGATACAGTCAGACGCGGCCGCGTTACGAGCCGCAAAGCACCACCGCCACGCGAACCGCTCTTACAGCTGCTTAAAGTGAAATTGAGCAAAGTTGTTGCGATCGTTTGAGGGGAACTGACCTCCGTGCGCTATGATTGATTGACGACGACGATGACAGTCTTAAGCAACGTCGACTCCCGTTGCCTTGCTCCGCGCTCTCCCGGGCGCGGACTGAGCTCCGAAGGCTGCCGAGGTCCACTTTATTAACGATCACAGCCCACCCCCCACACACACACGCCTCCTCCAGCCCTTGCGAGTCATCGTTCAACGGACACTAGAATCAACGGCAGCCATCTTGAGTAAGGGCAATTGTCGCGGGCCGTTTACGTGCACGGGGTGGGTGGGGTGTGGGGGGGGGTTGGTGCGCGTCGACCGTTGGTGATGTCACCGCACTGGAAAACCTTGGCTACAATCCCCTCCCCCTTCCCAAGATGGCGATCGCAGACCTCAGAGCGCACTTCTTTTCTCGAGCAGGAATGTTCAGCGATTTAAAAAAGCAGTTTTAGGTGATTTACGTACGGAAGTGCGAATTATATTTTTTTTGGAAACAAAAAAATTAGGGTGTGAAAGTGCAGTCTCCAACTCTTATCAACAATGTCTCCGGCGTATTTACGTGCAATTTAAGAGGGGTCGCTTCCCGAAACATCGCCTTTTTCACAGTATCTATTTTCCTTTCACGGTCACGGTGTTGTTGTTGTTGTTGACGAACTTGTTGAGGTATTCATCACGTTGTGCGGGGGGAGTTCTCCAGAAGGCGCGTAACCGCATCACCGTTGTATTACATAACGCGGATGAGTATTCGCTGCGTCGCCACTGGACAACGTAACCAAATTTGGCCAATCACAGGCCGCGGGCGGTGGGTGGGGGAGGCACGGATCGACGAATCAGAACGCGCCGCGGTGAAAACGTCATAATGATACATTTTGTTTATTTACGATTGACGAATCCGATGAGCTCAAATTCACGATAGGAGTGCAAAATATGGGAAAACGAAACAAATCACTTATATATACAACTAAAACTAAACTATTTTTTCTTATAGTTTTAGTGGGTGATCTAAATTGGAATTGGCTAAACCCGCCGGCCGTGGCCACATTTTACAGATGAATTTAACCTGTTTCAATTAATAAATGTCCCCACAAGACCCAACCTGAAAAATCCGGGACAGTCATCTCTGCTTGGCGTCCTATTGACAAATGCCCCTCACAATTTCACACTGACTGGTGTTCTGGGTAATAACCTTGGTGATCACTCCTTCATTTTTGGTGTGAGATCATCAGCCAGACCCAAAGCCCTCCCTAAATTGGTTGAGAAGCACTCTATGAGACACTTCAGCACTCAGGCATTTACTAATGATGTGCTTCACTCGGATATTGACAAGGTCTGTGATATCCCCAACCTGACTATGGCTTGGGAGACCTTCAGGTACACGTTTCTCCAAATTCTTAACAAACATGCTCCGTTGGTTAATTACAAAGCTCATGAAAACTAGGGACAAGGCTTGGGCATGTGCTCAGAAAAGTAATTTGGTCAATGACTGGCTAGAATACAGGATTGTAAGGAATAGATGCGTCAAAAAAATACGGCATGCAAAAAATGCCTACTTTTCCTACACTCTCCTGAAATCACATGGAAATGCCAGGATTTTCTGGAAAACAATCAAATGTATCGAAAGGCATCCAAAACAGACAATCTGCCCATTGAGCTTAACCGAAATGAAGAATTTTTTTCAGATCCCAAAAAAATAGTTGGCAATTTTAACCTTCATTTTTCTGAAGCTGGTAATCTTTTTGATAATGTATTGGGAGTCACCCGTGCTCATGCAAATTCCTACACCCCTGTCCAAACATTAAACGAATTTAGTTTCCAGCCAATCCACGAAAGTAATGTTCTGAAACAACTGTCCTACCTCAAAGGGTCCTCCTCTACTGGAGCAGATAGAATTCCCGTCTTTGCTCGACTAACTGTTGGTCACCTAATATACAAACCTATAGCCCAAACTTTCAACCTGTCTATCAAAGAAGCATCCGTTCCTCTAGAATGGAAACATTCCTATGTCCGTCCACTTCATAAAGGGGGCCCTAAAGATGATCCAAATAATTACCGACCTATCTCAATTTTGTCCCCGTTGATGAAAATTTTTGAAAAATTATTGACCTACCAAATTAGCAGTTTCCTGTCCACCAACAATCTACTACATCTAAAACAATCTGGGTTCCGAAAAAAATACAGCACCACATATGCTGCATTAGACTCTCTGAATCACATTTACAGTAGCCTTGATAATAAGCAGTACTGTGCCTGTCTTTTTCTAGACCTGTCCAAAGCTTTTCATACAGTAGACCACAACACCCTGCTTAGTAAACTAAGTTGCCTCGGTTTTTCCGAAAACGCAGTAATATGGTTACAAAATTACCTCTTTTCTCGCACCCAAACTGTATTCACAGATGGTTGGAGGTCAAACAGTGTTAAGATAACAAAAGGGGTTCCACAGGGTTCCATTCTCGGCCCCCTTTTGTTCTCTCTTTATGTCAATGACTTGGGCACTGACCTGGATAATTCCAGGGTAAATATTTTTGCAGATGACATGATACTGATTACTGCTGGCCGCTCTCCGGATGACGTGATTGCTAAGCTACAGGGTGATTTCAACAAACTACAACATCAGCTAGTTGCTCTTAAACTAGTCCTGAATACCTCCAAAACCAAGGTGCTATGCTTCTCACCAGGACGAAAGCAGGAAGTTATTTTTCTCCAATTACATTCCTTAAATAATTGTCAAATAGAGCAAGTCAAAATCTATAAGTATCTTGGGGTCATCCTGGATTCAAAACTGAATTTTGAAGATCACATTGTTTATATTGCTAAAAAGACAAAAATAAATATTGGTTTTCTGTATCGACACAAGCACTGCTTCCCCCCAATGTTCCGTTTGGAATTGATAAAAGTTACCATACTGCCTCTACTTGACTACTGTGACATCGTGTATAAATCGGCCCCAAGTACTGTACTGAATACGCTTGATTCCATCTATCACTCGGCCTTAAGATTTACATTGAACTGCCCATATAGGACTCACCACTGTGATCTCTACATTGGGTCAAGCTAAACGTCTCTTAATGTTCGACGGCTTGTGCACCAGATCTTATTTATTCACGATGTACTTACAAAAAAAATCCGCAGACTACCTGCTGGATCTCCTCTCTGTTTCAAAGAACAAATCTGACCTCAGGTCTTCGCTCATTTACCAGCTTCACATTCCCTATTGCTGTACAAAAACTGGAGGAAGGGCCTTTGCTATTGATGCCCCCAGGGTCTGGAATACTATTGCCAATAAACTGCAACTTGAATCGCTACCAATGAGATCTTCTCTCAAAACTGCTCTAGAGGAGTTGTACACCCCTAGCTGCCACTGCTATTCATTGGCGTAAAATAAAATAAAATGTTTCGCTCCGGATGACCCTTCAAAGTATTATCTGTATTTTTGATTTAGCGTGCTGATCTTAAAGGTGCATTGAAAAATTTGATACTCCGACCGATGCTTCTCTTGTTGTGGAGTAACTCATGCAGCCAGCTATGGCTCTGGGATTTGGTGTTACATGTTATTTATGTAGATTATTGTAAAAATTCGGTCACAGTCCTTGTGATCACTGTTACGTTGCAATTATGGCTTTATTTTTTGGTGATTTGGAAACGTTTTTTGGTTTGGACATGTTTCTTTTGTTGTAGTACGGAGTTAGGCTGATGGCCTTAATCTCAGTTTTTGTGGTTGTTGTTGTTGTTTGACTTGCATCCCACTGGGATTTTTTGCACACACCGTTGGTGTACGGTGCTTTTTTTAGGAATATTTCAGCTGTTTTTTTTCCATGGATTTTCTGTTTAAACAGTCACATAGTCACTTTAAGATGTTTTCTTGTTCGTGTTTTTATTTTGTTTGTTTGTTGTGGTTGCACCCGATTCAAGAGCCGAATGGCTCACAGGGCTATACCAAAATAAACTGAAACTGAAAACTGAACTTATCTGACTAGATAAGACGCGATGTAAGACCAGGTAGGCGAGCCACGAGACTATAATGATGTGGGCTGTGCTGGAAGAGGTCTTATCCGTCCGAATTAAAAAAAAAAGGTTTTGTAATCACTTTGAATAAGCTTTGGTTCTTTTGGTAAATTCACGTAGATAGGGTCAAAGCAAATAACAAAAAAGTTACTGTAGTTTTTTGTTATTTTCTTTGAACCTATCTACGTGACTTTACCGAAAGACCCCAAAAATATTAGTCTTGACTTAAAAAACTTTCTAGACTGCAGGAATCAATATTCTTGTTTCTTTCGGTAAGGTCACGTCGAAAACAAAAATAATAAAATTAATATTAAATTCACAATTCAAATAATACAAATAAATTTAAAATAATAAAAGCAAAAACACCCACGATAAAAATAGTAAAGTTTAATTGAAAATGAAAGTAAATTGAAAATAATGAACGCAAAAAACCCACGACGTTTCGATCGCAACACAAGCGGTCTTCCTCGCGATGAGGACCGCTTGTGTTGCGATCTAAACGTCGTGGGTTTTTTTTGCTTTTATTATTTTCAATTTATTTTTTTAATCTATTTTATTTTGCTATTTTTATTGCGGGCTTTTTGCTTTTATTTTCAATTAATTTTTATTTTATTATTTTTGTTTTCTATCTACGTGACTTTACCGAAAGAACCAAGAATATAAACTCCTAGTCGTCTTTCAGATATCCTCAGATGCAACGTACACAACGAATTGCTCATGCAATGAATGAGTCACGTGTCTTTTTTGTATGTACACGCAACGCTTAGCGCAACCTGAATTGGCTGCTAACATTAAAGTCAAACGACACTTTCGATAACGCCAGCATGTATTGTTTACTTTCAGTAAATTGATCATATGGATATTCTTGTCCCCGCCACAGAAATGTACAATTTCCACCACTGGCTCAGGGCTGTAAAGTGTGGTGAAGTATGGGTAAGTAACCCGACACCACGGTGGCAAGGTCTGGTCCAGCAGTCGATTTACAACAGGGCTGGAAATGTTTGGTCCTGTATTGCATTTTGAATGATGTAACAGGTTCGGAGTGATTTCACTTGGCTTCAATCCAATGAGATGCCTCAGTGAATAATGCAAGCGGCTATGAACTGCGTACGACATACAACAAACCATGCTCTTTTACCGACCACTGCACGGGTGCAGTACTTTCACGCATAAA